AGCTCACTGGCGCCCCGCACTCCGTCAGCAGATGGCCGTGGTGGGGCACTACCTCACCTTCCAGCCCAGGGAAGAGGGCAGGGCACAGGAGGGAAGGCTGAACTCGGCCCTCCTGAGCCTCACGAAGTCCTCACAGGTGGGACTCCTGTCAAAATGAACAAACCAACGACGGAATACACAGGACGGTGGGGACGGAAGGGGCAGCAGGAGGAAGGAACTCCAGGAGGCTGGAAAGCAAAGGGAGAGCAACTGGCGGAAGAGCAGACCTTCGAAGACCACATCTGCAGCCTGTGGATTTTTTTTTTTTTAACAAAGCTTTTTTTTAAAATTTTTTAAATTTTATTTATTTTGTGTGTGTGTGTGTGTGTGTGTGTGTGTGTGTGTGTGTGTGTGTGTGTGTGGCCAGCTCAGCCCACCAGGGGGCGGGGCTGGCTGGCATGTGGTGCTGGGGGATTGAACCCTGGTCCCTGTGCTTTAGCTAAGCTTGTTCTAAGTAGATGCTTTAGACCACTGAGCCATCTCACCAGCCCCATGTGGATTAAGTGACAGGAAGGCCGTGGCAGGGTCAGGAGCTGGACCTCTCAGCGCAACCTTCCAGCTTCAGTCAAAATCGCCCCCAGCTGGGCGGTGGGAAAGCCCCGCCCCCTTCCCGAGAATGGCCGATTAGCTTCTTAGCTCCCACCGGAGCGCCAGAGTTTCAGACGTCAGCGCAAAAGCTTCCAAGGTTGGTGGAGATCCAGCCAAGACGTAAGAAGTACAAGACTCAAGAAGGCAAAGAGAAGGAAGCGAAGTACAGGAGGGAAGGAAGCAACTACTAGCAATTTATAAGTAGTAGTCTCAGAGAGGCAAGAGAAAATGTTCATCTGCATTTTAAAAAAAACAAACAAATGTTCATTTTTCAAAGTAATACGGGCGGGGGGAATCTCTTGAAAATTAAAAAGAATAAATAGAAGGTCTGGAAAATAAAACTGAGAAAATCAGAAAGTAAAGCAGTGGAATTTTTAAAAATGGCAAATAGAGAAAATAAAGGAAAGGAACTCACCGGTGAATTACTTCTGACTCTTGACCACTGAGGGGCATGAGTGTCCGGCTGTGAGCCTGCTGACCACTCCTCAGACAGTCTGCAGAGACCACATCAAGTGCCTGCTGCAAAGGAGCAGACCCTCATGACAGGGCGACAAGCCGTCCAGTCTGCCTGGGCCAGATTTTTAGGGCTGTAACTTTTCAGCGCTAACACTGGGACAGTCTTGGGAAAACAGAACAGGTAGTGTTCCTCTGGGACAAAGACCACTCCGCTACTTGTGGCCCCTTATCAGATAAGTGCTTTGCAGATGTTTTCTCCTACTCTATGCATTTTCTCCTCCTCTGTGCATCATCTTGTGCAGAAGCTCAAATCTTTCACCTTCAAGAGGTCCAGCTTATTGATTCTCTTTCACGGAGCATGCCTTTGATGTGAGACCTAAGAAGTCATCAGCAAATGCAAGGCATTTTCTGCTGTTCTCTTGCACGGGTTTTATAATTTTGTATCTTAATTTAACTCTGTGTTCCACTTTAATTTCTTTGAAGGACATAAAGTCTGTGTCTTGATTCACTTTTTTGCATGTGATTTCCAGTTGTTCAAGGATCATTTATTGAAAAGACATTTTCTCCACTATGTCACCTTTGTTCCTCTGCCAAATACCAGCTGACTACATGGGGGTCTGCTTCTGCACTCTCCATTTTATTCCACTGATCTGTGTGTATATTTTCAACAGCAGCACATTAGTGATTACTATAGCGTTCTAGTAAGTCTTGAAATCAGGAAGGTTAGTGTTCTTTAGTTTTTGTTCTCAGTCAAGCCCTTTTTTTAAACCAAGGACAGAACGCCCAGGAGAGCTTGGTCCAGCTTCAACTTGGCAGTTGGCCTTGACCTGACCATGTCCCTCCCTCCTCCTCTTCAGAGGACACATGTACCAGCTACAGAGGTTTTCAGCTCTTCCCTGCAGAGCTGGAGTATGTAGGAGACACTTCAGGTCCACCTCTCGGTCCAAGAAGCCAATATTTGTAATCCCAAAGTTACGTTATTGGAATCTCATCAAATTGATTCCAATCTACCACTTACAATGCAACCCACGGTAAAAATAAAGACACTAAATTATATCTTCAATCATCGAGGAGTCAAGGGGCTCTAAGTCCAGCCATGAAGATGGCTTTCTGGAACCCAGAGAGCGACCCAAGGCCTCACCCAGTTTTATTCAGTGGGGGAGTGACTTGAGGATTGACTGAGAACTGTGGGAAAGAGACTGCTATGAGCTGAGCTAGGTGGATGGCCTAAATTTACCTCTGCGATATGCAGAGAGGATATGCAGAGAGAGTAATGTGCATTATATAGCATCTAATGTTTTGGAAAGTCTGGTGCTTCAGCTGTGGTGTAGCCTTTCAAGTCCCAGGATGTCATAGCCTCTGTCTCAAGGCTCTATCCCAGCTGGTGCTGTGGAGCATTAGCTCTACCATCCTGACTCAACCCGGCTCGCATTGAAGAGTAGCAGGTGTAGGTTACCAGGGAAACATGCATGCCACCTTCAAAGACTATCACCAGCACCTCAGCTAGACCAATATACGTTGCTTAAGGCCAACTGAAGGATAAACAGAAGTCCTGGCCAGCTCTGTACAGAACAATCCGAGGAAATAGGGTCAGGCTCAGTCAAAATGGAGACAGTCCCTCTTCTTTCAAGGAGAGCTGCTCAGGTGGGCCTCCACAGGAGTACAGACATCCACCCATCAGACCATTTTAAGCTGCATGTCTAGTACCTGGTCCACACCTCATCCCTGCTGTGCTGAGCCCATGTATCCCAAGATTCCGTGTGATCTTGCTCATGACTTACCCCCAAGGCACCTTGGGAGCTCCCAGAGAAGTGGAAGTCAGACCATGACCTGGAGATTGCACCTGACTCCTCCTGGAGCCTCCCCAGCTGGCCTCCCCTTCCACTCCTCAGCTCAAAATCTACTGTGGTCATGTGCACATACCAACATTTCAGCCAGTGACAAGCTACATGCACAACAGGCCATCCAAGGGATCATGGGCTGGAAATTTCCCATCACCTAGTGATGCCATGTTGCAACACAGGTTTGTGGTGACACCATGGAACACACCTAATGTGCTGCTCTCTGTGTCAAAACAGAGCCTTACAGTTATGTGCTGTGCGTAATAGTTGATGGTGGTAGTAACAATGCACAACTGTTTCACTGGTTGATGTATTCATACATCATGTTTTTATTATTTTCTGCTTATGTTTACTGTAAAATGTCTTGTTACATGGTCAGCAGCCACGTAATCTCATTTTTATTGCACCATTTTCTCTTGTGCTTCATTTAATCACATGTTGTTTTATGATGGCCTCAGGATTAATAGGCTACTTTTATATTTGCATATGCACGTGTGTATGTAAAATATAACTGACAGGTAGATACATGTGATACAGCAGTTGATTGATCCTAGGCACCGAGTAGGCTGCATTACCTAGGTTTGGGTAAGAACACGCTGTGAGTCACATGGTGACAAAGCCAACTAAGGACACATCTCCCAGATGAGTTCCTGCGAGTGAGCAGCTCGTGGCTGTACACTGTTTGGGGACAGGCAAGCAGGCAGCACCATAAAGAAAAGCAGCAGTTAGCTCAGTATTTGGGTGGTCGTGGCCTAAGACGAGGTGGCGAGGCACAAATTGAGGAAAATGGATAAGGGACACTAAGGTACTTACTTGTTTTATTAGCCTAGGTTATGTTCACAGGTCTTCATGTTATTACAGTAATAATAACTTAAATTATAGATGTGTTTAGAGGCTTTTCTATGTTTAAATTTTTAATTAATCGGGGAATTATCAAAAGAACATTTCCCATGATAGTCCCCAAACAAGGTGCAGGTTTATTCCAAAGTATAACCTGCATCATCCACTTGGGGGCGTGGTGCTGTACTCTCATTGGCCAGGGCTCAGTTCACCCCTGGCCCCTTACTGGAATTCCAGCCAGTAGGGAGAAGCGGCTCCCGGAGACAGAGAAGCAAGGTGGTTGAGAAGTTGGGACATGCCTTCCCTGTGGTGGCAGGGAGCCGTTGGTGGTGTACCTCAATTCTTGGGAAAGCCTGCGTTCTCTGGTCTATGGCTTCTGCCGGTAGCAGGGTGTCTTCACTGAGAACCGAGCTAGGATGGACTGTGGAGTAGAACCAACTTCTTTTCTTTTTGGAAAGCTCTAGTTCCAGCCACCAGACTGCGTGTGCTGGTGCCATCCACGTGCAGGGACAGATTGCTGCAAGCCAGGCCCTGCCTCTCACAGATGGACAATGCTCCTGGAGGTCTGGATTCAGTGGGGGGCCAGATAGCTCAGTCTTGTGTCCTCCTCATGCCATCCACCAGATGGCTTCCTGCAGGTGCTCTCCCAGCAGCGCATGCGCAGCCCTGAGCTCAGTCTGCAGGAGGCCCCGTACCCTGCAGTAGCTCTTCAGACACCAGGAAACATGGAGAGCCCTTCAGGGAACCCAAACTGGGATGAGACTGTCAGAGCTCCAGGATTTACCAGGGTGGGAAAGAGGACTCCAGGGTTTGCTGGAGACTGCAAAGTGCCGTCGCTCCTCTGGCCCCGGCACAGTGCACCTGCGCAAAGCAGGGGCAGCTTGGAGAAGCCGAGGTCTGTCCTTCAGCTGAGTCCAGGAGGGGCTGTTCGACTCCACAGCAAAAGGAAACCCAAACACCTCAGTTCAAAAAAGGCCAAAGCCTAGATCAAGCATTGCTCAAAAGGACATTCACAAATGGAACACAGAAGGCGCTCAGCAGGAATCCTCAAGGAAAGGCCAATCAAAACCTCAGAGCGATGTCACCTGACACCCATCAGCATGGCTGTTATGTTTTCAAAAACTAGAAAACAAGCACTGGTATGGATGTTGAGAAGCTGCAAACCACTGGTGGCAACAGAGGTGCAGGTTCCGTGAAAAACATGGCCGAGGTGCAAGCTGTCCCTGTGTCCCCTGGATGGAGGATGAGAGTGTGAATGGGATGTGGTGCTCGCTCCGGAAGGGCGCTGACATAGGGAGTGCTGGGTTCCTGCGGTGCACCGTGGATGAGGACCCAGGACCCCGGCCCCTTCCTCTCCTCTCACTCCCCAGCCAGGGGGTGGGTGGTTCCGCTCTGAAGCACTGTCTCTCCTCAGGCCCAAGCGCGGGCCGAACTGCCACGTGTGCACCGCGGAGTCCCTGATGCAAGCCAGAGAGCCTCCTGCTCAGTGAAAGGCTCAGAAGGTGAAGAACCCGGCCAGCTGCCGCAGCCCCTCTCCCGTGCTCGCAAGACCCGGCCAGCCGGCGCAGCCCCGCCTTCCCGTGCTCGCAGGTGCAGGACCCGGCCAGCTGCCGCAGCCCCTGCTTCCCCGTGCTCGCAGGTGCAGGACCCGGCCAGCAGCTGCAGCCCCTGCTTCCCCATGCTCGCAGGTGCAGGACCCCGCCTGCAGCCGCAGCCCCTCCTTCCCCGTGCTCACAGGACCCGGCCAGCTGCCACAGCTCCTCCCCCGTGTTCGCAGGTGCAGGACCCGGCCAGCCTGCCTCCAGCCCCACCCCCAAGTGTGTGCCTTCCCCGGGGGAATGTGCTGGTGCTTTAAAGACTCTCCAAGGGAGACTGTAATGATAATTTTACTACTATGGTTTTAAAAGTTATTAAAAATACTTGTAAGATTCACAATCTCCACTCTCTTCAGCGTCCAGTCCAGAGGGGTCGAGCATGTTCACATCACTGTGCGCCATCGTTTCTAGTACTCCTGCATCTTGCAGGACTGAAAGTGTCAGCCTTAATCAAGAGCTCTATGTCCCTTGCCCTGCCGCAGCCCTTAGAGCCGCCATTCTGCTCCGTGGTGATCACTGACTAGCCCACCCCCTAAGCAGGGAATCCTGAGATGGGCACATTCGCTTGACACAACCTCCTCAAGGGTCATCTTTCTTTCTTTCTTCTTCTTCTTTTTTTTTTTTTTTTTTTTTTTTTTTTTGGCGGAACGTGGGGATTGAACTCAAGCCCTTGCACTTGCCAGGGAAGTGCTTATTCTACTGAGCTATCTCTCTGGCCCCTCATCTTTTTTTCCATGTGTTATCACTTTTCTCAGGGCTGGAGCAAATACTCAGTGCCCCTTGCTACAGGGGGGAGAGTTTTGCTTCAGTGCTGTGGAGGAGAGCTGCCTGGAGCATGGGACAGGGACTGAGTTGGGGTAGGAAGAGGAGCCCTCAGGCTCTATTTCCATCAGGTGCTCAATGCACTCCACCCAGCTGAACTAAACTAGTGTGGTGCTGGGTGCAGGAGGCCACCTGAGGGTTGTTGCCAGCAGCATGAATGCAGAACAGGAGAAGCTGCCGGAACGCTGTTAGGGCTGCCAGCTGGAGAAGCTGCTGGGAGCTGCTGGTTCTCTTGGGCTGTTCTGCTGGAGGACCTTGTCCTGCTGACCACCTAGAGCAGGCCCCACCCAGTGCATGTGAAGCTGGAGGCTGTCCAGATCTAAACTGCGACGCAGTGCTTCCTTAAGGCTGCAGCACGTGCCCCCCAGACTGTACTGCACTTACCCACATGTGCATCTGTGGGCTACTTCACAGCTTTTGCTTGTGCTGTTTTGCAGCGCTGAGCCTCAAACCCAGGCCCTTGTCCACGCGAGGCAAGCACTGCACCATGGAGCTCTACATCTAGCCCCCATCATCAGGTTTTAAATTATTTCTCAACATCCAAACAATGGGATACTTTGAGGTACCTAAAAACAAAGGGAAGCCTGTCCTGCCAAGGAAAGACCTCCGAAGCACACAGTGGGAGGTGTGGACCTGCTGCTTTTCTGCATAATAAAGTAGAAAAGGGGAAACATATTTAATGTCTTTGTCCTTGCATATGCAAATGAGAAGAGAAATAAGAAAATGGAAAGGACCACTGTGGTATGGAAGGGCCACAGGGGGGCTGAGGGGCACAATGAGTAGTTTGTGCTGCTCCCCAGTGCCCTGCCTTCCCTGTATCTTGGACTGTGCACAGCGTCATCTGTGTGCTCTCTGCCCCCCTCCACCAGATCTGTGAGGTCCCTGGTGCTGGGGACAGTGCCAGAAGCCACTCCAGTGCTACTGAATGACTGTGGCCCCAGGCAACAGCAGGATGGTGGAGGACAAGCCTGTCCCCTGAGAGTCACACCTGCAAGCAGTGGCAGCCTACAAGTGTTGTTATGGGTTGCTCAGAATAGGAACCAGATCAGCCAGGTTGGAATTTAGAAAGCCGTTTATTACTGAGCTCAGGACCCTCGATCAGCTCTCACACAGGAGAAGACTGAAAGGTGACTTGCTCAGGAAGCAGGGGAGGGGTTTTAAACCCTGGAACCACATTCAGTTTGATAAACAAATTCATTATCTGATGCAGAATAATGCTTTCAGAATCATTGTGACCACTACCAATAATGCTTTCAGAGTCATTCTGTTTTTTTGTTTTTTTTTGTTGTTGTTTTGTTTTTTTTTTGGCAGAACCAGGGATTGAACTCAGGCCCTTGCACTTGCCAGGGAAGCGCTTATTCCACTGAGCCATCTCCCCGGCCCCTCAGAGTCATTCTGACCACTACTCAAACTAGATTTCCTGAGGCTTTTTCAGTCTCTCGTTAATTTGCACCTGAGTACCTTCAGGCAGCCTGGCATAGCCCAAGGTTACAAGAAGTTAAAGCCCCTTTAGTTTCCTTTCGAAGTCATCTCTGTAATCTAACTTTGTTTACAGGGATTGGTGAGGTAGTTTTATCTAGCAAACTACAGGTAACAGCCACTATTTACTAAACAATCTAAAACAATGAGTGAATATGCATTTACAACAGAAAGCACAAGATTTACATTTATAGCTTAAAATGTGAGTTAACCCATTACAGTGTTTGCAGGCCAGAGGGCACTGGTGGCTCATTCCCTCTCTGGGGATCTGTGTGGTCATGCTGGTTTGCAGCCTCTCCTGGGCCCCTGTGTGAGCTGCCACAGGAGCCACTTGAACCACTTGTAGTGGATTTCCATCAGGTGGTCAACGTACTCCACCCAGCTGAACTAAACTAGCGTGGTGCTGGGTGCAGGAGGCCACCTGAGGGTTGTTGCCAGCAGCATGAATGCAGAACAGGAGAAGCTGCCGGAACGCTGTTAGGGCTGCCAGCTGGAGAAGCTGCTGGGAGCTGCTGGTTCTCTTGGGCTGTTCTGCTGGAGGACCTTGTCCTGCTGGCTTTCCCGATGAACTTTGGTGAAGCTTGGGTCCCCATCTTTAACACTGATTCCTGCTCCAGAGGAGAAGATGGTGCCCTGCTCAGCCTCATGGAGAAGCTGGTCACATTGGCTTTCCGGTTTTTTGCTGGTTTTTTTGGCGGAACTGGGGATTAGAACTCAGACCCTTGCGCTTGCCAGGCAAGTGCTTATTCTACTGAGCCATCTCCCCAGCCCCCACATTGGCTTTCCTGATGGAACTCAGCTTTCCCCATTGCTGGAGGAGCTCAGGACCTCACTGTTGCTGAGGATGGCTGTGGTGTGTTTGGGGAGCTCTGGTGCTTACCTTGAGCATTGCTTCTTGGCTCCAGTGCAGATCCCTCAGCCTGCTAGCACAGACCCTTCATCCCACTGGCATAGACTTTCTAGCTTCCACCGCTGATCTTCGGGCCTTTCCAGCGCAGATCTGCGAAGTGGACCTGCATGGGACTTTGTGGGCTCTAGGCCTCCAGTTGGACTGGCAGGAGGCACTGTTATGAGCTCTAGGCCTCAGCTGGATTCATTAGTATTTAGTGTGTGGATAGATTTCCTGTACTAGTAGTATGTGATTCTTGGGTGATTTGTTATAAAATACTATTATAAAATGTGCCCTGTACTATGTTGTTCACCTTGCAAAAACCCCAAACCGTGATACCATTGTAGTGACTTTGGTCACTATAGCCACTTTAGGCCCAGCTGGGTCTGAGGACACTGCAGCTTCCCAGCCCCATCCCTGGCACCCCGGCACCCATTCCACACCAGGCCCAGGTGCTCTGCAGCCACGGGCTCCTCTCTCAAAGGACATTTCCTCCCACCACAAGGCGATGCTGCTCTGGCCTGCAGGGAAAGTCTGCCACACTCATCTTCAAGAAAATGTGGCTGGGGCTGGGACAGGCCCAAGGCTGCAGGGTGAGGTGCCAGACCTCTGGCAGGTGGGAGCAGAGGGCAGCAGAGCCTGTTCTATGGTGTTAGGCTCAGGCCCCAGGCAGAGGCAGAGCTGATACCTGCCTCAGAGCTGGCCACCACTCCCTGAAGCAGCCCCAGTCCCATGTGCCCACATGGGGTGGTTAGGAGGTGGCCTTGTGAGATGGTACAGTCTAACTGTCCAGAATCACAGAGCACCTGCAGTGCCAGCTGAGGGTGCTCCTGGGAAGAATCCAGCATGACCAGCTGCAGTCCCCTGAGCAGCTCTGCACAGCGAGGTCTCCACGCTGCACTTGGCACTGCACTCCTTCTCCTGGGCCCTCCAAGCGACCAGATGGCCCAACCCATGTCAGCCTGCACTTCACTAGGGTAAGGGCCTCTGGGTGCCAAAGCAGTTCTGGGTGATGCCTGCCCTCCGCTCCCTGCCTGTGTGGGTCAGGTTGGTCTCTGAACCAACCTCTGTGGCCCGTGGCAGGGAGGAAGAGACTGATGCTGTGGGTCTTGTTGAAGGCAACCTTCCTGGGAGGGGATCTGGAAGGCATCTTCCCCTGAGAGGGTGAGCTCGGCAAAGAAGTGATGGTTGGACTCTGAGGGAGGCCTGGGGGCTGTAAGCGAAGGAGAAAGGGAGTCATCATGGACTCACACGGACATTGAGGTGGAGGGGAACCCAGGGAACCAGTAGCCACAGCTCAAGTGTACCCCAACTGCTCCTCACTGTTGCAGGCAGGCATGTCCCAGACACAGCACCTCCGACATGGTCACCCCAGGCAGCCTCAGCCTGCCCCCAACAGTGCCCGCAGATGGCGAGCAGACTGGGCAGCCCCTCCTGGATGGAACCCCCTCCTCAGCCTCTCTGGTCCAGCACCGGGTACCCACAGCCGACTACTACCCTGAGGTGGGTGAACTGCCCAGTGGGCCCACAGGCATGGGGCTGGCAGCAGGCCTGGGAGCGGCCTGGCCTGGGGAGGTGGGCAAGCTGAAGGACGCCCTTGCCCACGCCCTTGTGAGTGGACCGTCTGTCTTGCCTGTCCCCTGCAGAAAGCCTACATCTTCTCCTTCCTGCTGAGCGCCCACCTCTTCATTGAGCCCCAAGAGGTCCTGGCCCAGGTGGCAATCTGTGCACCCAGCAGCAGCAGCCAGTGCTGGACAAGGTGAGGTCCGGGCTTCCAGCAGTCCTGCTTCTGCCTGTCGGGAGGCTGTGCTGTCACTGTCCTGACGCTGCCTGAAGTCAAGGACCTGGAAGATGCAGCTGGTTCCTAGAGTCCTGGGCAGCTCCCTGTGCAGCTTCACGGTGTCCCCAGGTGCCCTGAGCTAACACTGAGCCCTGCCTTGTGTCCCCAAAGCCCAGTCAATTAGATCCCACTGTCTGTGTCCTGGCATGGCCCTATAGCTCTGCTGCGCTGCTCCCCCCACCCCACCCCTTCTGCATGTGGTCTATGGATGGCCCAGTCTCTTCAGGGTTCCTTGCATCCCTTCCTCTTGCCTGGGCTCAGCCCACATGCTTGGCAATGTGTTTGGATGTTGGTTTGGTTCTGTTTCCATGTCAGAAGCCCAACTTCAACTGGCAAAGGGACAGACTATCTCATGTAACCACCAAATCTCAGGTCCTGCTGGCTCTGGGACCCAGTGACACTAAAACCTAGTCTTTCTCACTCTGACCCACTGGTTTCACCAAGACCTAGAGACCTCACTCTGGTTCCCACTGTTCTCAAGTGGTGACAAGGGGCCTCAGTCAATGGGGTCACTGTCTATCCTTCCCAACTATGTAGAAAGAGGAAGCGGTTTCTCCTCAGGGCTAATGCAAGTCCCAGGCACAGGGGCTTGGCTTAGTCCTCACAAAGGATGGGGCCTCCTCTGTTCCCTGTGTGGCCTCAGCTCCCCTAAGACAGTGTGCTGGAAGGAGGAGTCTGCAGGGGACACTGAGTGTGGGAGAAGGGATGTGGGATGACCGGCAGGCGGAAGTCACCCAGCCTCAAAACGTGTGCCAGGCCCCTCAGCCCCTCCATGTCCAGCCTCAGTGGGCCTCAGGGCACAGTGCACACATGGGGAGGCTGACCCCGCCTCACCCCTCACCCTGGGTAACCCCAGCGCTCTGCTTGCCTTACAGGCCCGGGTCCAAATGTTTGGCCCCAAACTGCTCCAATTGCTGGACAGAACCCTTCCCACGGGATTTCCAGGAAGAGTAGGCTATTGGGCACCTAAAGGACATGGTGGGCTGCAATGCCCCCTGTGATGAGGTGGGCAAGCACAGCAGGGTTCCTTCACCCCATAACTTCTCATCCCAGGTACCCACACCCACCTCAGCACCTCAGCAGGAGGGAAGCAAAGGCCTCTGGTTCCAGGCCTGGCTTCTTGACCTCGTTGCTGGCCTGCTATTATCAATGGCATAAGACAGCCAGCGTTCTTGGAGCCCCTCAGTCTGGCTGTTGACCTATGACCCATTAGGCTACTAGGCGTGTTGTACTTGCTGGGCCTTGTGCCTGTCCAGAGCTAGCCTGGGAGCCAGTGTACCTGGCCAGGGACCTGCCAATCAAGGGCAGGGAAAGGGCTCTGGCTGGTGAACCAAAGGACAGTAAGGTAGGCACACCAACCACCCTCGGCAAACCTTCCTCAGATCTGCTCAGTCCAAGGGTTCACCTGTGAACCGTGCAGTGGAGGACCCTCCTACAGCCCAAAGTGTACTAGAGGTGAACATGACCCTGACCCTGGCACTTGGAAACCTTGGTGGCTTCAGAGGTAGGAGGTGCCTCTGTCCCACCTCACTCCGTGCTCCTGGCTGTGTCTCTCTGGGAAGAGCAATTTCAGGAGCATAAGCCTTACTTCACTTCTGAGTGCAAGGGGAACAAAAATCTCCACCTTTAAGGGCTGTGAGAATTTGAGGAAGTCCCCTGCAGGGGTTAGGATGTCTCCTGGTAGTTGGCAGGGGAAGGTTTCCCAGGTCCCCAGGACCCTGTGCATGGCACCGAAGCACACTATTCCTTTTAATGGAAGGAGAGGACATTTGGGAGGGGGAGGAGGAGGGTTGGTGTGTCACCTCTTCTGGGAGGACAGCAAACCTGGCAGACTGGGAGCCAGCAACGTGCCCCAGAGTGGGCATAGACGTGTGTTGATAAAGGAAACTGCTAAGCCAGGCTGGACAACAGGAGGCAGTGATGCCAAGGCCTCAGAGGCTCAGAGGGGCAGTGCCTGGGTGATCCCTTTCAGGATCAGGGTCTGGCTTTTGGATGCAGCACAGTGGGTCCTGGAAGACTTGGTGGCTGGTGGACGGGCAGGGGAGGTGGACACAGAAGGAGGCTGCAGGCTAAGTGGCTGGCTGGGCAGTTGGCTACTTTTTATTGATAGGAAGAGGGTAGGTGTTTGTGTCATTTACATAGGCAGGTGGATTTATAGGTGAATGGATGTGGAAAGATTGCTGAGAAGACAGGATAAAAAGACAGGAAGGGTGGATGGGTAGGTGGACAGTAGATGGGAAGCTGGCAGTGGGTGGGTGGTGAGTGTTAGGAAGGAGGGACGGAGAGAGGCTGCACTGGCAGATCTGCAGGTGGCAGGCTACCCTGATGCCCCCCAGGGAGGTGTCTGCAGCTGAAGGCCAGATGAGTGTGACTGCTATGAGCTGGGCATAAACAGTGGGGAGGGAAGACGCAAGTCTGGAGCAGCTTCTGCAGTGGTCTGAATTCTAGCTGGGCAGGTGCCATGACAGGCGCCATGCATGGGCACCTGTGTCCCCAGCAGTGAAGGGCACGCTGGGGACAAGTGGCAAACACTGCAAGGAAGCACACTGGGCCCTTCTAGAGGCCCCCGGGGTGGATGGAAAGGGAATCCAGGAGCTGCCTGTGTCCAGAGCACAGGGGGCCAAAGGGACAGTGAAGCTATCAAGGGTAGCTGGAAGTGGACTCAGGGCCTTACAGCCAGGAAAGCCATGGAAACATTCTAAGGGGGAGGTGGGCCTCACGTGGCTGGAGGTGAAAGGGACCAGAGCCCATGTGGAAGCGGGGAACCTTTCTAGAGGCCAGTGTGAACAGAGGGCCTGGCCCACAGGGATGATGGTGGACATGCACAAGCATTGGGGGAAAGACGCGAGAGCCGTGAGAGAAGACAGTGTCTGGGATGACTCCAGCCAGTGTGCGGGGCCTGGTGGCCTTTGCCACTGCTGGGGCCCAAGAGCTGAGGCAGCTGCAGGAGATGAGACCTGAGAAACCGCTGTGTGGGAGGGTTTTGGGGACCTGGTGGCTGAGGGGAGTGGCAGCAACAAAGCTACAGGTTCATGAGCTCAGGCTGCTCTGCTCCTTACTGACCAGAGCCCCCAGGGACCTGCTGCCCTCTCACTCAGCCAACCCAGCTGGCTGACAGCAACGTCCCTTAGCAACAGGGGTCTCTCCCTGAAGGTAGAAGGGCAGATGGCCCTGCAGAAAGGGCCCAGGTCTCTGTCTCTGTACCTGCCCAAGGTGTGGCCCAGTGTAGGAACTGGTCTGTCCCTCTGAGCAGAGCTGAGGGGTTTCAGCAGGAGGTTTTTACCACACACTGTAAGCCCCGCCGACCATAATACAGAGGTGGCCCGTGTGAGCCCCATTCCACGGGGGAATAAACACCCAATCCTAGAAGAGTTCTCTGGTTTCCGGGGTGCTGCTGGCAGGGCCAAGGCAGCCTGCGGAAACTGGGCCCCCACTGGATCCAAGCAGGAGGCCCAGGGCTAGGCAGGGCCTGTTCCAAGCCTTCCTCCTTTGGTCTGCCTCTAGGCAGCACAAACCCCACTCTGCACGGGCCCAGGGAGTTGGGGTGCCCTGTGAGAGCCTGTTGCTTCCTTCCAGGACCTGGTTCTGAGCCCTGCTCTTGGCTGAAGGTTGTGGCACCATGCTGTGCCGGGCCTTTCCAGAGGCCCCAAGGGAAACGGGAAAGATGCACAGGCTGAGTGCCGCTGGCCCCCAGGCCTCCGGGAAGAGGATGCAGCAGCTCCTGCAGGCTCTGCGCCACAAGCTTGGGACCAGGGGACGCTAGCTGGACCAGGGCCTGAGGGCCTGATGGGCACGGACAAGCCCATCGCCTACCAGACCAAGCCACATGCCTCAGTCCACAGGGTGCTCCTCAGCGTCTGCAGCGACCCCTACACGCTGGCAGAGCAGCTGACTCACGTGGAGCTGGTGAGCGCAGGAGCCCAGGCCTTCCACGCCCACCGGGCGACCCAAGGGCTGCTCCCAGGGCCTTCGCTGAGGCGGACTCCCCAGAGGGTGCGGCGGCCCTGGGTAGTGCAGGGACCGACTGGGGCCGCTCCTCTGCCCACAGGAGCGTCTGCGACGCATCGGGCCCGAGGAGTTCGTGCAGACTTTCGCAAGCAAGAACGCGCGGGGAGCGCGCAGGTGGGCGCACGTTGGGGGGTATTTGCGGGACTCAGCATAGGGGTGGGGAAAGCGGGGGTGGCACGCAAGGGGTGCAGGAGACCCGGGGTGCTCGGGAGGGGCGCAGGTGGGGGTGCGGGTGGGCACAGATGGGTGTGCAGGTGCTGGCGCAGGGAGACCTGCGGGCAGACGCTGGGCTCTGGCCCAGGCTCCAGGCGCTCTCTGGCGGCTGCGCGGGGAAACGCTCGGGCCATGCGAGCGGTGGAACAGGACAGATGTGGCCCGTGGTGTAACATGAACTGGAGCAGTGTTTTGTGCCCTCGCCTCTAGTAAGGTGGGGCTGGCCGCAGTCTGGGACGTTGAGGCAGGAGTATCACAAGTTCGAGCACAGCCTGGAAAATTTAATGATCTAGCGAGACCCTGGCTGAAAATTAAAAATACAAGGAGAGTTGGGGGGTGCAGCTCAGCGCAAAGGCTCCAGACGCAATGGCACGACTGGACAAAGCAGAAGCTGAGCTCTGTAGTGCGGGACTGCGTCACACCTCCCACACGAGCGAGCGTCACGCGGCAGGACAGAGTGGTGGGTGTGCGGGCGAGAGGGACAAAGGGCTCTTCTGCAGTGGTGGGCCAGGGCGCCTCGCGGGGACGGAGCTCTGCCCTGCAGCGCTGGGCTAGGGGGTGCACGAGGCCTGGCGGCCCATCCCAAGCACCAAATAAACAAGTAAATGACACACCTACTTCCTGGATCCAGATGTCCGCAGCTCATCATTTATGCTACAATAAATGCAGCTGTGCACAAGATGGGCATGCAGGGCTACTTGAGAGATAGAGGGTGTGTTGTGGCCAAAGGCCGGAAGCAAATTTTCCATGGGAGTAGATTAAAAATATAATACATCCACCAGTACCACACGGCTATTAAAAGTAAGGCTATCTTAGTAGGGTGTGGGGGACACAACTGTAATCCCAGCACTCGAGGCTGAGGCAGGAAAATTTCTGTGAGTTCAAGGCCAGCCTGGGCTGCATAGTGAGTTCAAGACTAGGCTAAACGACATAGGAGACCCTGTCTAAAAAAAAAAAAAGAACAAAAACAAATAAACAGACGTGCTCTGTGCATCCAGTTACCCAAGAGAAACAAGTAGTGACGGAGACAAAAGGATGTGACCATTTGTGACCCGACAAAGCAAAACCTTCCAGGTGCTCTCTGTTCACCAGAGTGAGTGAACAACCTCCAGGAATGGGGGTGGGGGACACAGGAAGGAGATGCGCCCACCCGAGGAGGGTTGTTGGTCTTCTGTGTGATGTGTCCCATTTCTGGTGTTTCTTTGTGGTGTCAAGTGTGTGTCAGGACGTCGAGGCTCAGCCCACCCCACTTGCGTTCTTGTTTTCCTGTTGCGAGTTTAGCTGCAGTCAGCATTCTGACCGGATTTCTGGGGCACATCGGGTGCACGTTTTCCCAGGGCTTCACTTCTCAAGTGGCTCATTCTCAGGACCACTTACATGCATAAAAATTATTGAGGGCATCAAAGTACTGTTAGCTACATGACTTGTTTCTAGCACCACTTAGCATATCATCCGTTAACACCTCTGACTTCCTAAAGTACTTACAAATAGCTATACTAACTGATCATATGTTCACCTAATTAACATATTATATGAACCATAGCTATATATCCAGAGAAAATTACTGAGAAGAGTGATATTGCTTTACAGTATTTTCACAAGTCTCTGTAATGTCTGACTTCATGGAAAACAGTGAGATTCACTCACTTGTGCATTCAGTCTCTCAGCATACCCTGTGTGGTTAAAGGAAACCCAGCCTCACTCAGACAAGTAGTTGAAAGTTAATATTCTTGCTAGACACTGCAGTCAAGCCCAGCGATCAGTACTTTTTAACCATTCAGTATAATATGAGCTCTGAAAGCATGTCAGTGAGCTTCCCACATGTTGGGCCTCTGTCGGTCCACCTTGGACCTCTCAGTGCATGATTCTGTAACATTGTACGTCGGTCATTTAGAAGATAGAGAATTAGGCAGATCTGAAGCCTGGCACAGGTCATTATGCCGGACTTTAATCACATCTGTGACTGTCATTCCTGCCCTCATGATTTAAAACAGTCCGGGGTTGGGGCCTGCTTCGGCCGCAGCACATTTGCCTGGCTTGCGCCAGACCCTGGCTTCCATCCCCCGCACTGCACGAAGCCTGAATGTTGAAAGTCGTCAAGCTCAGGGGCAGATGCATGTTTCGCGTCTTCTCTTGAAAGCTTGCATTTTACCAATGGCGACAAATACTGTGAATTGTTCTCTGTGAAGTGGCAGGTTTATTTTGTTCATTTTTAAGAAAATATGAGCCAAATACTGGAGTCTGGAAAGTGTGAGTCTGCAGCGCTTCTCCCAAGGAAAAGCAGGGTCCTGTGACAGCAGGGCCGGCAGCAGTGGTCAGGCAAGTGCTCACCCTGGAGACCCAGCAGGCTGGGGCCTGCGGCAAAGGCACTCCAGCTTTGTCCTATCAAATAGGTATGACAAAGATGTGATAAAATTAAAGTTATACCTTACTCGGCATTCCAAGGGGCACCCACATTGTTATCTTTTACTGAGCAGCTTACCCACTGCTTCGTGCCGTAATGGAAGAGAAAATTACAGCCTGGCACCCTTTCCACTCATCTTTGGACTCAGTGTGCCAGTGTTCAGTTTAGAGTGTGTGCAGTTGGGACCATGACTGGGACTGAGCTGTAACCTTCCCTTCTGACACTGTTCTTGGCCGGCATTTGGTTTCCATTTCTCTTTATTCTGGATTAAAAGTTGGAACTGCCCCTTCTTGGAACATTGGATAGACTCTTTCAGTGAAATACTGGGGCCTGGAATGCTCTTCAAGGAATGATTTTTATGTTCAGGTTCAATTTTTTTCTTATTTTTTCTTTGTTTATCCTTGTGGTTATAAGCCATTTAGGTTTCTTTTTCTTCTTAGGTCTGTTTTATAATGTATATTTTTCCAAGGATTTGGCCATTTCAACTAAGTTTTCATATTCATAGACATAGAATTATTCACAGATAACTATTATAATAGTAGTAGTATTTATTAATAATAGTAATTATTCATGGATAACTGTTACTAGTACTTTGGTTCACAAATGCTTGTGTTGACCAGAAGCATTCAGCAAAATTAAGCTTTGGTTCTGGAACTCAACACTGGGTGACGGATTTCCCCAGATTCACGGAACTAATGAAGTTCACGACCCATGGCACCACTGGACTGCCTAAATTTCTTGGTATTCAAATTGACTTATCTTTAATAGTCTTCATGACTTTTTTCTCGCTTTGCTTCTCCCCCAATATTGCACAGATTCATCAGTTTGTCGAGGGTTTCACATGAAGAACTTTTGACTGTTGATCCTATGAGCTCAGTTTTCTCTACTGTTTTATTCATTTATTCTCTAGTCTCTGTTTCCTTCCACTTACTCTCCCTAGGTTTACTGCTGCTCTTTTTCTCATTTCTTCTTTTTTTGACCCCACACTTGCCAGGCAGCGCCTGCACTGCTGAGCTGTATCCCTGGTCCTTTCTCATTTCTTATGCTGGATTGCAAGTTTTCTTAGTCTTCCACTCTTCTAATAAAAGAATGAAAGACCACACTCATTTCCCTTTAAGTATTTGTTTATTTGCAGACTCTAAATTTTGTTTTCCAGTGTTTTCAGTATCATTTTAATTTCCTTATTATTTCATCTTTGACCTATAGATTTTTTTAAAATGTTGTTGGATTTCTAAATTTTTAGAAGAATGCATATTTTCAGGTAGCTGAGCTTCCATGTTTGTCCATTACTTCAACTATGTAAATTACTTCACTCGGATTTGTCTGCACTTTTTTCCAGTTTCCCTGCCCTAAGGATCGCTGCTCTATCCATAAAGCCCTTCCGCTGTGCCGGTGTGGTTTGCTTTCTCTGATAAGGTGCTCCTCCTTCCTGACTGTTGGCAGGAGCTGGGTCACACAGTGCAGACACGCTCAGATTCGTGACCCGTTCCCAGTGAACTGAACATCATCTTGTACATTTTAATCTCTTCTAGTGTTTTTGCCTTAGAGTCCTTTTTTTGTTTTAAAATCAATTTTGTCTAATATTAATGTAAATGTCCCTCACTTTGTGGTAGGGCCATGTCCTGGAAGCCCAGTGTAGTCAAAAGATCATTACGCCAAACCACCGTAAGTCATGAACCACCTGAATAGTTGTGTGGTATTTATTGCATATGTTTTCCTACTTTTTACTTGAGTGAAATTTAGAATATATCTCTTGAAAATGACAAGGACCAGAGTTTCTTTTTTAAAAAATTGCAATAACTGTAAGTGCTTATCTGCATTTCTTCTGATGCCCTCTATTGTATATTCACCGTCCATATTTTCCATTTATTTTTTTCCTTTTTCCTTTATATCATTTGAATTAGCAAGTCCCTCACTCCATCTTCCCCTTTTTTGAAAATTATGCCAGCAGTTGTAACTTGCACATTTAAGCTAGTTTAGATTTAATCTTGCAAACTATGATACATGTATGATGGCACGTTCTACATAAATTAAAAAATATCTTTCCAAAGGATACTTTATGACACTGGAAAAGGTTAAGGCAGAAACATGGAAAGGTATATAGCTATATCGTATAGATGCTCGGCTGCAGACAGTTGGCTCTGACTGTGGTTGGTCGTTATGCTCTCGAGCAATGTCATCAATGCTGTGACTAAGCCACTGTTCCTACAGGAAAGTCAAGCCTCTCACCACAGCGTTCATCAAGTGACCCATGTGTAACACTGTTGCACGCGTGTTTATGTTTGAGGACACTTTAAGTCGCACCCAAGCCATCTGCACTGTGGTTCTGCCCAAGGGGCGCTCGTCCCGCCCTGCTCTAGGGGACAGACCATCTGGGTCCCTGCGGCACCCCAGGACACCAGCACTGTGCTTGGGAGGGTTTTCTACATTGAAGTTGCTCCCCTAAAAAGCACCAGAAAGTGGGGGGCAGTATTAGACAGATAAATAATACTTGCTGATGATATGAGAGCCAAAACAGGAGTGTGGTACCTCATTTTGTTCCACCTCAGCTGGAAATGCCTGTGTGGAGTGACTCGATTTTTTTTTCCCCCGCACCTCCGTGCACCTGCACAAACAGCTGCAAAGCAATATGAGCTGCTGGAGTTACAGACCAAATTCAGGGTGTGGGCAAATTTCAAATTCAGAACCCATGAATAGCAAGGACCAATTCTGAGTGCATGCATGTGTGCATGTGTGCGTGTGCGTACATGCATGTGTGCGTGCATGTGTGTGCACGTGCATGCGCACACACACACACCCCCCCCCACTGGGATCAAACTCAGAAACTTGCATTTGCCAGGCAGGCACTTATTGCGCTGAGCTTTATCCCCGGCCCCACCACCTTATTTTCAATTACATCTTTAAATGTATAGGAAAACCCCAAAAGACTACCCATTGGTATTTCTAGATGGCTTGTGGTTCCACATTGTCCAGATTGTCTATTATGACTGTGAACTGTCTTGATATTACAAAAAGCTACTGACAGGGCTGGCCAAATAGCTGAGTGGACTAAAGTGCCTGCTTAGGCAGGTGCAGGGACCAGGGTTCCATCCCCGGCATGCCGGCCGGCCCCACCCCTGAGGGGCACTGAGGTGAAGATGACTGGGATGGGCGTGGTGGCGCCCACCTGTACTCCCAGCACTTGGGAGGCTGAAAACAGGGTATCACTAGGATCACTACAAGTCCAATCTGTGTAGTGAGACTCTATAGACCCTGTACTAAAATACATTTTAAAAAAGCTACTGGCAGACTCAGGGTGTGGCCCTGCATGCCTTTTCTAGCCTTGCTTCAGTGACAAGACGAACAACCTTGAGACCTATGTAAAATGGTCCAACTGACTGTGCTACCTGGTAGCCACTGAGACCTGCATGGCAAGTGAGGGGTGGGGGTGGTGGGACCCACAGAGAGACCAGAGGGCAGCTTGTGTAGGGCCATCTTCAGCCAGGACTCCTCCAGGATACGAGCAGTACTCCACCACCCTCCCCTGAAGTGACATTCCCTGCTGGCTAAGACCCATGCCACCATCAAAGGCTGCTTGCTGAAGGTATGAGGTCACTCGTGGGCAGCGTCCACCTCCGCTGCACCTGTTGCCTCAGAGCCCAGCCAGTAGCAGGTTTGCTTTGGCTTGGTCAGGGTTTAGAGATAGAAGAGATGCAAGCTTTAAGAGTTCAGATATAACACATGGAAAGTGCAGTCCATGGCTTCTCCTGGACCACACGAGGCCCCAGCAGGCTGGAGCTGGACATGCTTGTCCCTGGACTGAGACCCCCAGCCTGTCCTCTTCACAGTAGAGGGCATGCACTGAACCCTCGACCTTGCTATAAGGTGAAATCAGGCTTCCCCCTGAGAAGAGTTGCAGGCCACTCCTCTGAGGCTCCTGGAAGCTGTTTAGTAGAGTCACCTGCGAGGGAGAAGCTTGTGTGCTATGCCTTTTGCCCCTCCTGGCTTGGGCACTGCCCCCATTCGGCCACCCCCAAGGGGCCCAGTGCCAGCCTCCTCAGACACCACAGAGACTGGTACTGCCTGTGGTAGTGAGCAGTCTGGGGCACCCTCGCTGGGGCGCTTCTCCCTGCTCACCCCTGCTATGAGGGCTGGGATGCGCTGGCCTGAGGGGGTCTGCATGAGGAACTCTCCCAGGACAACTGGTGAAGGCCACAGGACAGTTCTGAAGGGCCCAGCGCTGGCCCGGGAAGACAGCCTCCAAGTGGGCTGAGCTGTGGGCCCTAGCATGCTGCAGTCGCGCTGGGCCTCAGTGTGGCCTGGAGCTGCCGTAAGAGCTTGCGCAGCACTTTGGGCCTCAGCTGCTCTGCTGTGGTCTGGGCCTGGGCCTGGGCCTGGGCCTGGGCTTGGCCGAGGTTCAGAGCCAGCTGGGGCAGCTGACGGAGTGACAGGGCTGACTCTGCCTGTCCTCAGCCAGCCAAGAAGAAGCCACGGGCCCAGGTGATTGAGTTCTTCACTGACGTGGCCCGAGAGTGCTTCAACATCAGCAACTTCAACTCCCTGATGGCCACTGTCTGTGAGTGACCCCCCAGGCTGGGCCATGAGGACCACCGAGGGCGGGGGCACCATGGGGCACACAAGTGCTGGGCAGGCCCTCTGTGGGCGGGGCGGGGCCCCACAGACCACATGGAGCTCCCAGTGTGGGCTGCCAGGCCCAGGAGCCTGCTTAGCCCACCTCCCTCTTGCAGCTGGCATGAACATGAGTCCTGTCTCCAGGCTGAAGAAGACATGGGCCAAAGCGAAGACGGCCAAGTTCTTCATCCTGGAGGTAATTGGGCTGCCTGGGGGAGGGTGTGGCCATGGAGCTCTGACAGCTGCCTAGTGCCTCCTGTCCCCTCCCAGCACCAGATGGACCCTACAGGGAACTTCTACTACAGCCCTGCGTGGGGCAGCACACCACTCCCTGACCACATACAGCAGGCGGGAGAAGGTAAATGGAAGACAGGCAGAGGGCTGTGCCCTCCCTCTGCAGTCTTCCTGCTCCAGGACGAGTGGGCCAGCTGCGTGGGGTGTGGGCAGCAGCGTACCTACAGCAAATACCTCAGGGCACTTAGGAAGGGAGAGGGCTGGCTTCGTGTCTAGCTTTGAGGTGTACATGTGTGAGGGCCTGGCCTGTGCTTTAGAGTCCATGGCAGAGCAAAGCACTGGCTTCCTGGCCGGGTCCCTGCAGCCGCCCAGGGACTTTAGCCTCCCTCAGGCACCTAACAGGCACTTAGGGTCCAGATCATAGCGGTCCAGGAACGCGAGGTGATCAGAGTCTGCTGGTGGAGCCCACCCTCCGCCCGAGGCTCCTTGCACCCCACCTGCCAGTGTGGGGTGCCTCACCTCCCAAAGCAGCTCCTCTGTAAGGGCCTCTTCATGGAGGCAGCACTGTCCACCTGGCACATCCTCTCGGAGGCTGGAAATTGGGCCACTCCCCCCATACTGCATCTTCCCTGCCTTGGGGTCCTCTCCACTTCAGTGCCTGAGGTAACCTCCCCAGCCTGGCCATGTGAGGGTTTCCAGGTCTCTTCCTGCTCTGACCACCCCACCCACCCACCCACCCATTAGAATCTCTTCTGTTTAAGATCAAATTCCAGTTCCAGGTACACAGGGTCTTTTGCCTTTCATTCTAAATGCAACACATTTATTTATTTATTTATTTATTTATTTATTTATTTATTTGATACAGGGTCTTGCTATGCAGTTTGGACTTGTAGTGATCCTCCTTTATCAGCCTCCCCAGTGCTGGGATAACAGGCATGCACCACCACACCCAGTTTCAGGGCCCATATGGCATGTAGTACCAGGGATCCAACTTGGGTCCTTGTGCTTGCCAGGCAGGTGCTTAGACTGCTGAGCTATCTCCCCAGCTCATAGCACCTTTAATGTGACCTCAAGTCCCATTTGTTTTTGTTGATGACTGACCAAGCTTCTTGTCCATCCAAACTGCTTTTCATGGTGGTGTTCTTACATGTTTGTGTTCTGCAGCACCTTCATTCACACTGCCCCCTATTTCTCCTCCAAATTCTCCTAGGGATCTGTGTCACAGGATGGTATACATAGGCCCTGTACTGCAGTGTGTCCAGCTTGAAACCTGCTACCAGCCCTCTGGCTCTCAGGAGGAAAGCCCAAGGCTTGGTGAACCTTCTGAGTCTGCTTCTTGGAGGAATGCTGGTGACATCTGGCCCCGTGCTGGTGATGTGGACCTGGTTCCCACCAGCCCCCTGGTGTCATAAAAGTGGCCTTCCAGCACCTTGGTGCAGAGTGTTTTCCCTCAGTTGAGGCAAACAATGGGTTCTACAACACAGGCACCCTCTTCACACAAGCACTTCTACTTCCTCCACATCCACGTGGGTCCAGGCCACCATTCTATCTGGCCTGGTCCACTGTGCACAAGGGCCTTTGGAACTGCAAACTTGCTGCTGTTGCTTTCTGGACTTAATATCAATCAGGACCCAGCTCAACATAGAGGCCACCTGGAGAAGTGGGTACAATGACAGCCTGGGAGAGAAAGGGGGCAGAAGCCGATGACAGGCAGGAAGGAATCACAAGGTGTTATGCACTGAGTTCTCCAGGCCTCAACTTGAGTTGATGCGGATGGCAACTGTGAGGTGGTCTCTAGCACCTGCCCATCTGTTCATGCTTCCCTCCAACCATTCATCATCCAGCCTTCCTTCTACCCATCCATCAATCTATCCATCATCCAGCTTTCCCCATCCATCTTTATATCCACCCGTCCACCCAGCCATCTTTCCTTCTTCCCTCCTTCCATCCACCCACCTTTCCTCCTTCCTCTAAACACACAGCCACAAACCACCTGACCAGATTACATGCACTGTACCCCAGCTCCCTGGCACTGGAAGGGAGTCTAGGAACACAAAAGTCCCAGCCTGCTCACCTGCCCCACGATTAACGTGGTTTAGCTCCTCTAGACCCTAGCTCCACAGCCCACTCCTGGGCTGTGAGCTGGCACCCCTGGCTGCCACCCAGCTCTACCATGTCCTGGAAATGGCAGCAGCCTGTTGTACAAAGGCTGTGAGATTCACACTAGGCCAACTACAGCATGTTCCTGGACCTGCTACCTCCTCGTATTGAGTGGACAGTGAAGTCCCTGAGACTCAGGCTTCCAACTGGGGAATGTCAACGCTGGGGCCTGTAGAGTAGCCATGGGAGTTCGGTGGGGAGCCACAGTCCAAGCAGCCCACGTGTAGCAGGGCCCTCTCTGTGGTGAGGCTCCTGCCCTTGGCTGCCCTGCCTTCCGGCCCTTGGCTCCTGCTTGGGGAGGGGCAGCTCACTCACCCAGGACTAAGAGTCTGGCAATGCCCTGTCTTGCTCGCACACCCTGCAGTAGGCCTCCTGGGGCCCAGAAAGGGCCAGGGGATGAGGCTATGCCATCACCACACGGCCGTGCGGGTATCTGAGGGAGGGCATGAGCACGAATTCCGCTATCCGCCGCAGCATCCCTCAAGGCAGACCAGCACACCCAACCAGCACACCCCAGCGTGGCTTGGAATTCTGAGAACAGCACTTTGCACCGTCATCCCTCAGCACATCCTTCCTGCCTGTCATCGGCTTCTGCCCCCTTTCTCTCCCAGGCTGTCATTGTACCCACTTCTCCAGGTGGCCTCTATGTTGAGCTGGGTCCTGATTGATATTAAGTCCAGAAAGCAACAGCAGCAAGTTTGCAGTTCCAAAGGCCCTTGTGCACAGTGGACCAGGCCAGATAGAATGGTGGCCTGGACCCACGTGGATGTGGAGGAAGTAGAAGTGCTTGTGTGAAGAGGGTGCCTGTGTTGTAGAACCCATTGTTTGCCTCAACTGAGGGAAAACACTCTGCACCAAGGTGCTGGAAGGCCACTTTTATGACACCAGGGGGCTGGTGGGAACCAGGTCCACATCACCAGCCCTGGCTTAGAGTAAAGTAGCTGCTTCTACGTGGTGTAAGCAGGAAGCGCAGAGTCAGTAACGGGTTATTCTGTAACTCAGCATATGTTTGTTCACACATTGTCAGGCAGATGTGTCCGGGGCAGGTTTAGTTAGGGGGCCATTTGTCACGAGGCAAGAAGGACCAGGGAAGTCAGGGTCCGGGCGGGTGCGTACAATGAAGTGTGCCTTTGACAGGGCTGGCCTGTCCCACGTAGCTAGTCCTTGAGACAGGCTGGCAAACCAGGACATGAGCGCAGGCCCTTGCGCTAGAGGGTCAGCTAGAGCGGAGTCGTGTCATCTCTGAGCTGCAGTTGGGTAGTTTAGTCCAGGCCAGCTGAGGCTGATGGTCCAATTATGAAGCTGTTTTTTCCTTCTTTTTTTTTTTTTTTTTTTTTGCAGAACCAGGGATTGAACTCAGGCCCTTGTCCTTGCCAGGGAAGCACTTATTCCATTGAGCCATCTCCCCAGGCCAATGAAGGTGTTATTTTAAAATTTCCTATCACACCTGCAGTCCAGCCTCAGAGCCCAGGACCAGTTAGTTACTCAGCACCTGGGGTGACACATCCATCCGGTTTGCCCAAGACAGTTGTGGTTTTGTTGCTAAAAGTCCTGCATCCCAGGATCTCCCTCAGTCCTCAGCACACCAGGCATCGGTCACTACCACATCTGGTCCTGGGCCTGGCCCTGGCTATCATTAGCTGGAGGTTTCCAGCCAGCTCCTGCTGCTCTATGGGCCTGTTTCCCCGTCTGCACTATAAAGGTGAGCCGTGCATGGTTCTCCAGAGTGTCAGCATCTAAGTCCTCATTTCAAAGCCTCTGTCAGCTTGGCCCAGCCATCCCTGAGCTAGAAAGGCCAGAGCCATGTGCCCTTTGCCCAGGATAGCAGGTGAGAGCTTGGCCCTGGTGAGACTGGCATGTGTCCCCAGCCCTGGGGGCCAAGGCAGAGGCTGCAGGCACCTTGCCGGGGCTTCCCTGAGTCCCCCAGACAGAATCCCAGCTTAGAACAGCAGAATGGTGTGCTCCAGTTCTGGAGTCCAGAAGGCCAGGATGGAGCAAGCGTGAGCAGAGACTGTACCAAGAACCCTTCCCTCTGCTGGCTCCTGATGGCCACAGCTGTCAGCTTCCCCACCTCATCTCTCCCATGTGGCTGTCTTCATGTGCACAGCCGTATTGACCTCTGTTCTTGAGAATGTGACTTGCATGAGGGCTGCTCTAAGCCAGCATGGCCCATCTTAAGTTGAGCGAGTCTAAGTGAGTACCCACAAACAGGCAGTGGTGTTCAGGACTTCATTGGGCCTGCGCACCCCTGGGGGCACAGTTTACATTAGTCTGTCCTTCATCACTATAATAACATCCTGGGGTGAGAATTTCACAAAGCAAAGAGGTTTACATGGCTCAGAGTTTTGGTGGCTAAGTGCTGAACTTGTCTTGGCTCTGCAAGGGACCCTTGGCTGTGTCACCCAGTGGAGGGGGTCCTGCTGGAAGTGCTGTGCTGTGGTGAGGCAAGAAGCCAGAAGGAAGGGACGGCTTTGCACTTTTTAAATACAACCCTCTCACAAGAATTCCCAGAGTCCCTTGAGGACTGGTCTCACCCCCCGAGGGGCACTTGGCGGCCTCTGGCTCACTGCGCTCCCACACTGAGGACCAGGCTCCAGATACGCGAGGCCTGAAAGGATGCTTGCAGACCCAAGCGACGCTCACACTCCAGCAGCAGGGCAGAGCCATCTGGGCTCCCAAGGGCAGTCTGGGTGGTCAGCAGGGGCCTTCCTGGGAGCTGCCAGGTGGCAGATGCACGAGCAGGCAGACGGACAACCTCAGACCCCACATAACAGCCAGTAGCACTTTGCAAGCCTCTCAGGAAGTGGCGAGGACGTTTGCTCCTGCTTTCACTGTGTGCCTCAAGATTGGCTCTGTAGCACCAAGAAAGACAAAGGATGACAAATCATTGAGTACTTTTTATTTAAAAAAGAATAGGCCGAGTGTGCTGTGCCAGTTAACTCTCTCCTGTTCCCTGTGTGGGCA